GGGGGGGGTGGGGGTCCTCCTCCTCCCTCCCAAGTTCACTCTGATTTGGGGGCTTCAAGGCAGCTGTGTTAGCTGAGGCGCTGGGCTGTTGGGTTTGTTCCTGCGCCCGCAGGGCCGGAGTTGGGGAGAGGGGCCGGGGCCTCAGAGGCCTGCTCAGCCCTGGTTTAGCGGGGATGGTCACAGTCTCTCTGCCCCAGGGCTGCCCTGCACAGACGCCTGGTGTTTCCACCACCCTCGTTTCACAGGTGAGAACACAGGGGCCCGGAGGGGGTGAGTGTGGAACATTAAACCAGGTCTCATGGACTGTGCATTAAGGCTTTCCTAGGCCACCGTGTGGGGTGGGGGGTGTAGATGAGGGGTCTAGCCCCTGGTGGCCATGCTCCTGCTGCTTCAGGGTGAGGCTCTGACACCCAGGCCACAGACCCAAGGGGAGGAAGCCCTACCAGGGTCTGGGCCTCCCCCAGAGCCCATTGGAGCAGCCCGGACAGAGGAGAGGGGGGCCTCACGCCTCAGTGCCGAGGACCCGACCGGCCCTGTTGTGCCACCGTGGGCACCAAATGCCCTGGTGAGGTGGCCATCCTGCCCCCGAGGGCCCCTTCGAGCCTCCCTTCTCCCCCAAAGCTCGGTGTCTGGAAGGGGTCCTGCTTGCTCGTGAGCACCCTCTCTGTCGCCTGCCCCCAGTCCTCCCTCCGTGAGGGCTCTGGGGGCTCGCCCCCCACCTCCCCATCCTGGGTCATTTCCACCAGCGCGCAGATGTGCCGCGGGATTGCCTGAGTCCCAGCGACGCGAGCCGCGTCCCTCCACACTTCCTCACTCCCTGCTCGCTCAGCCCTGGCGGTTTTGGTCTGTGGCCACATCTCCATGGCCAGGATGCAGTGGACCCCCCCTGCCCTCGGCTGGTGCCTCCTGCTCCCCACTTGTGTCCGCGGGTGCTGCCTGTCGCTGGACCTCGTCCTGCCCCCAGGCACCTCCCAGGCTCCACTTTAGCGTCCGTAAGACCTCTCAGGGTGAGGACGCTCAGAGTGGGCTCTCCTCCGGGACTCCCCACCAGGGACCGCGCCAAGCAGTGCGCAGCTGGCCGTGCACTTGGTGGCTCCCCACCGCATCCCAAGCCGCGTGGCGGGCCCCCGCCAGCCCCAACGCCCCATCTGGCCCGGGCTGCTTCCACCCCTGCTTCGAGCCGTCATCATGTTGGACTTCCTCAACAAGGTCACTTTTTCCCCCAGGTTTGCAGCTCCCCACCCCAGCAGCCAGGGTGATTTTAAAGCAGTCGGATCAGCCCCTTTGCTAAATAAAAGTTCTCTGCTGGAGACGCTTGCCTCCTGTAGGTGCTGTGCCCCGGACACGCGACGACCTTGTCGGGCTCAGCCCAAGCACCCCAATTAAGGCAGGCGCTGCCAGCCTGTGATCCTGTCCCCACTTGTGTCACAAGATGCGCCATGCTGGAGCCCACTCCCCCC